TTGATCTCTTCCAGGGGAGTCTTCAAATATGTCTTCTGGTCTGGTTATTGTTTCTGGTCTGTTTGGTTTCCTGGATGCTGCTTCAATCTGTCTGACCTCATGTTCATCATTGACCTCTCCAGTTCCTCCCTCTGTGATGTAGAGCTCTGTGTAGATCTGGTTCAGAAGGGTTGGACTTCCTGCTTTAGCGATTCCCTCAAACACAGACTGGAACTTCTGCTTCAGACCAGATTTAAGTTCATGTTGACAAACTGCAGCAAGAAGTTCTAAATGTACACAAAATAATTCAAGTCAGGAAGGAAAACAAATATGTTCTTAAGATTATTTGGATGAATGTGATTCCATGTTCAGACGTAAGTAAATCAGTGATTTAACCATCAGGTTAACTTTTTGTAGAAATCTTCTTACTGCTCAGCAGACGGTCAGCCAGCTCGTCCTCCTTCATCATCCTCAGGAAGTTCACTGTGATCTTCATTAGTACTTCCCTGCTGCTCCTCATCTGCTCATCATCCTTGACTCCCAACACCTCCTCCTCATCTCTTTGTGTCTCAAAGCTTTCTAGGTCACCTGGACTTAGAACCTTCTGGATCTTCTTTAACTCATTCTTCACAAAATTAACAATTTTTTCCTCCAGCAGCTGGAACAGAATAAAGAAGGACACATCAGACGGAAATCAAAAAGTCGAATATCAGAACTATGTTGAGCAGGCTATTTATTCACTTTTACACAAGTTGCAGCATGGAGGTGGCTGCGAAGAGGACCAACGTGTAAGCCATGATATTGTCATAATGTGTGATGGACTACTGGTAGGTGCTGTTGCACGGTTACTGTATCTTTAACTTACAGTGTTATGGGGTAAAGGTTGGGAAGTTAGGAAATTGATTTTGAGAGAGCGGAGTTTGTGCGCTGGTGTAAAACTTACGGTAAATGAAAAAAGCGTGGGCCTGGTGCTTAGGAGGCTTAAAGGAGTGTTACACTGGTGTGGGAGCATTATCTATGGACTGACGCCTGGAACTATTGCAAGCGACCCTGCTCACCACTCTGGGAAGTTAAGACCTAGAAGCAGGAGATGCCCATCCACGGCTGCCCATTCATGGGGTGAGGGAAACAGCTCTACAGCTGTCTACTGAGGTAGGATTCTTCTCAGGTTTGTCTCGGTTTGGGGTCCTTTCCTGCCATGAACCCCATTTTGGCAAGACGGAGTTGATGTCATGTGATGCACCATCATGGGATGAAAACAAAAATGACAGCACCCATGGTCAGCTGTGTATGGTAAATATAAAGACACCATTGTTCAGTGGCAAGACACAGTGGGAAGTGTTTATTGCCCAGTTTTGCATCACTAGTTGTTGCAGCTGGCTGGTCAGAGAAACATAAAGCTCTACAATTAGCTTTGTGCCTACGTGAAAATAGAATAGCATGTTTGCTTCTACTGAGTGAAAGGGACAGGGTTGACTATGCTGCTTTGTTAGGAACACTTCAGAGAAGGTTTAACAGTTTAAGCCAACAGAGAGAGACTACCTGGAGAGACTAAACATTTTAGTTCAGCTCTGGAGTTACTTAACCAGACTGTCTTAGGCTTGTCCCTCTCCATTTTCCCTTTCAAATTTTCTCCATACATGCACTAAGTCCATAATCCCGAGAGACTTGCTGTGATATTTTCTCACGAGACTTTAATAAGTATGGCTGGTGGGGTTGGCGACTTTCTTTTTTAAAATCGCACTTGTGCCTCATTTTTCTGGATAGTAAGCTGACAGGAAAGGGGGTATGAGAGAGAGGGAAGGAGATGCAGGCAAGATTCGAACCCAGGTCAGCTACGTCAAGGACTAAGTCCTCCATACATGGGTGGTACAAGCCAACCACTGCGCCACCAAAGCACGCCCGGGGGATGGTGACTGGTAGTGAAAGAGCTGATTTAAAGTAAATATTTTCCATCTTAACTGCTATGACACTCACTGGTATGCCTCTCAGCTTTTAGCTACCTCTAGCATTGAAAAGTCGATGTATGTTTGAGTCTCGTGAAAATCACTACAAAGGAACTAGTGAGTGTGTTGAACTGTTTTGTTGTAGCCTGCTAATGCTAATGCCCTGTTTGATATAGTGTTAGCTTTGCCCCAGCGCTAGTTTCTTTTACTATTGATTTCCATTGTTTACAGAATCATAGCTAACAACTATATTACCTAGCTTCCACAGTCATAGAGTAATGTTGCATTAGTCTGTTTTTTGCTTTCATTTGACCAATGAGGTTAAAATCACTGACATACTGTGTGGAGCCTTATTAAGCACATGTTCAACCTTCTCCCAGAGCTGAACTTGGATCTTCTGATTATAGCTTTATTTTTTTATACTTCTTATCTGCATTTACCTACATATGCTGCAGTTGGCATTGGAGAGGGAGATGACAAGATTTTATGGAGGAAACGAGGACGCACCAGTTGTCAGAGCAAAAGCTACACCTGCCGAGTGGATGGAGATACACTGGAGATCACTCAGCATGGTCCAGGTGGCTACTCTCCAGTCATCTACTCCTCGTAATGGTCATCGCCACTGCCCATAAAGCTGCTGGGGTTGTCAACAGTTTGGACATCTTTTTCGGCCGTGTTTACTGCAGCGCAGGGAAAAGGCCAGGAGCCTGAGTATGCGGTAGTACATGGGCCTTTGAGACATACACCCCCACATCTCCCCCATTATGACTTGGCATAGTCATTGCTGTTGGCTTTTGACATGTCCCTGTGATGACTGACAGGGTGTCCTGCGTAGCTCTCTGTTGTGCCATATGCCATAATCATGGTTTTTGGACATTGGGAACCAGTGTCCATATTTTTCATCTTGAAGCTGAGATAACAGTAGAGGCTGGAAAAAACAGAAACCCACAAGGCCAGAGTGACAAGGCGTTTGAACAAAAGGTGGCCCCCCTATCTGAGGAGCTTTGTGATAAACAAAGCCAGCAGGCTCTGAATCAGCAGGAGATCAAACCAGTCAAAAGGAAAACAGTTCCTGAAACAGACACAAACTCTCTAAATTCTGAGTTAACATAAATTAGCTCTGAAGATGTTCAGAGTCAAAGTGGTGCCACAGCAGAGACAGGGAGAAACAATTAGATCACTTGGTAAAGTCAGGCGGTTTAAAACTATCCAATCCATTCTCTGTCTCACACCACTTTGATCGAGCACCAAGTGCCAGAATTCACAGCTTGAAAAACTCTAAAGCCGAGCGTACACTGTGCAATTTTTTTTCAGTCATTGCACGCAGCTACTGCTCACACTGTGCCACTAATTGCAGGGTTTAGTCGTACAGTGTGAGTTCACAGCTCACGATTTATGTTCGGCCCGACCGGCTCACACCGTACGACTTAAAAGCACGTCGGACTCAGCTCCGCAGTGAGATGGAGCTGCTCTGACTCGTTTATCCAGAAGCCAAACGAGTAGAAGGAGGATATTAACCTGAGTAGAGTGAAACACACTGCCTTGGCAATTTGTGGAACTTTGTGCTGAAAGCCCTGAAAAGAAAAGGTGACGACATGCATGAGCAAACAGTGTACGCCGGGCTTAAGGAGAATCAGTCTCCATTTTTTTCATCAAAGGTTAGCTCAAAATCCCCCACCAATTTATGAGCAGAACCAACTTCCTGATGGACCAAGTCCACCGATTGGCAATAGAATTCAAAAAATTTTATCCTTGGCCAAAGGCTTGATATTTTTGACCCAGAAAGTCAATAATCCAACATAATGGATTACCTGGAATCGTAGCTACAAAATATTAAATGACAACAATTGCAAATGTTCAATAAAAGACATCCAGTCACATTCACACAATCCCACCCTTACAACCATAAGGACAATACAAGCACTCAACCAAGAGGCACATAGAGGCACACAGGAGTAACCAGGTGCCACCATGGGGAGGAGAGCTGTTCAGCACAGGACTCAGCTGTTTACCTACACCTGAAGGCTAAATGACACTCGTTGGAGGAGAGCAACGTCCATATTCTGGCCCAGGAAGACAGATGGTTTGAGAGAGGGGTTAAGGACTGGAAAAACCATCTCTCAACAGAGGAGGGGGTCTTAGACATAACCTTTTACTTACTTACAAAGCACTTTGCTGAAATGTCTGTCATGTGTTTACATGTGCCTTCGTTTGTCCCTGTAACTCTTTCTTATCTACACCCTCTTGTCTGGTTAATTCCTGTTACTCATTGTTCCTCTGTCCAGAGCGCCTAACCCCTAACAGACAGTTGGGCGTGTGTTTATAGAACAACTAACATTCCAAAAGTTATATCATTAATATTAGATAACATAAAGTCAGCAGAGTAATTATTTGCATAACAAATGGAGAAGTGATGGTTTTACATGTACAGACCGTAAATACAGACTCCAGACGGATCTGATGAGGGTGGGCAGATGGAGCACTATGAAGCTTTGAATTCTGTTGGTCCACTCTGTGGAGGAAACAGGAACAATTAGCTCACATTCTCTCTGGCCACTGTAAGATAAACACAAGGTAAAAGCCCAGAATGCGATATCCGGAAGCATCAGTGAACCAGTTTACCTGATCCAACTGAGAATCAGATTTACTCCCAGTAACGATATTGTTCTTGTTTCTTTTTCAACCACCTGAGGTAAATAAAACACTTTTGAAAATACTGCAAACAAATACCAGCAATCGGTCTCCGCCAAGTGACGTCAATTGTAATGTAAACAGGCCTTTAGTCCTTCGTTTAGCTAGGCTGCGGTTGTTTACACTACACCTTTTCCAACTAAAATGGCGTCTTAGCAACAAAAGTCACGTGACTGGCGGAGACCGATAATGGCATTTACAGTGGGGGAAATATGTATTTGACCCCTTGCTGATTTTGCAGGTTTGCCCACTTACAAAGAATGCAACGATCTGCAATTGGGATTCTGTCTCTCACTGTACATTCTAACAGTGAGAGACAGAATCCCAAAGAAAATTCCAGAAAATCACAACATATGGATTTATAAAAATTGATAACCATCTGATGAGGAAAAACAAGTACATGACCCCCTACCAAACAGTAAGTATTCTGGCTCCTACAAGCCAGTTAGTCTTTCTTTAAGACACAGCCCCAATCCCAACCAATTATCTACATCAAATACACCTGCCTCACCTCGTTACCTGTATAAAAGACACATGTCAACACCCAAACAACCAGCATCCAACATCAGCACCATTGGCAAGACCAACGAGCTTTCTACAGATGAATTATAACCAAAGCAAATATTTCATTGAATTCTGTTTATCTTTGGATAAAGATCCAGATGAAAAGGTTCATAGATCTTTAAATATTTCTCTCTCATTTTTATCTATTTCAACATTTCAACATTTTACTTCACATATTTTTGAAATGTAGGTCCAGATTGCCATGACATTGGAAGGCAATTATGGAGGTTCTCTCTGTATTTTCTATATCCAAACCCTGTGAATTTAAATCCATGTTGACCCCTGGGCAGCAGGAACTGAGGGGGAAATTGAAGAAATAAAGCCAAAATTACCAAAGTAGAAAGCAGAATGTTTTTGTTCTTTGCCTTTTTGGAGTATTGCAGATTTTATTGATCTATGTGTGCTAAAATGGAATATCAGAATGTGCCTTTTCTCAGCCGAATCAGAGAGAAAAATCTTGTACCAGTCCCTATGATGGAGTTAAGTTATGCAGTAAGTTAAGAGTGGGGATGACAGAGAGCAGTTTCCTCACTACTCTAGACAAGGGTGAAATATAGATATATTCCCTTTAAGGTGCTTTAGACTCCCTCATGCTGTGAACAGAAGACAGCAGTGAAAGACATATTAACCTGACAGTGAATGTCCTTGATGAACTGAAGTTGTTTTTCCCCAAAAGTTCATATGTAAGAACGTTTATTTGTATGCAGGGGTTTGTTCCAAGGGAGTGTGTATGTTGGAATTTGTACAGTATAAATGTGTGTGCAGGGTTCGCCCCATCAGAGCTTTTCCTCTCTGTCTGTAGACATAAAATAAATCTTTGTTTTTGCAAGAATTGCTTCTGCCTCAGCTTCCAAACTCCACAGTTTAATGCATAATTAATAGTAGATCAGGAAGTGTTTGCTTTGGGATGGAAACCTTGGATGTCTAAAACCATTCCTTTATTGGACATTGTTAGTTCTTCTGTCTGCTATATTAACAAATAGAATGTGTTTAACTAGATCTGCTATTTTCACAATTTTTGTGAGAAACATTTTTTATAAAGTAGGACATTAATGCATAAACAATTTATTTTGAATTCTTAAAATCTAATTTTTCTGTCCAACAGCAATGATGATCTGCATGGCAGTATTCCATACCCAGCTATTGTAGCATCTAGGATAGAGCTGCCAGTCTGGGAAAGAATCTGGTTGTTACTGGAAATTGTAAAGGTTCACTGTTTTTTGAAGTACAACATAAAACTGACTAAAACTATTACATACAGTAATGACTAAAGTGTGATTGAAACCAATAATAGTTTTGGTCCCGAAGACAAAAACTAAGACTAAATTTAAGATGGCTGTCAGAAACAATACTAGTCGCAAATACTATTAGGTTTGCCCATGTTTTATACATGCAAACCTTTTGATGATATTCCCAAAATAATTCAAAACTAAGACTAATCTTTAACCAAACTTAAGACCCTATTTATATGGAGATAATTTCCAAACCAAAGCTTTAAAGGCTTTCTTTCAGTATTGCTGCTATTGCTGAGCTGGCTCAGACTGCTTTGCAAATCAAATTTCCATCTGAATGCTGTGGCCTCAGTTTAAATTAATGTTGGAATAAAAACATTTTAGATTTTCCACAGTTAGAGCAGCTCACCTTCCTGAGGATGGAAGTCCGGATTTAAAGTGAAAGAACGTATCCTTTGACTCGTCGCTTTCACAGGACAAACTGCTAGGTTCTAGTTCAGGTCTTTGATGGATTCTGAAAATCAAAACCATAATCAAAATACATTCTGTGAGGTTCTGTTTACATCCCAGCCAAAATCTACACTGTGGACCTATATGAACAGGAACAGGGTGGAAAATGGATGAAGAAGCCACAGACATTTATACATAGACGCATTTTGATCTCTCTGCTATACTGTATGTGGTAGAAAGTAGTTAAGATGTGGTGTAGTGAACCTTAACGCCTTGAACCCTACGGACCCACCGGTGGGTCCAGCTGCTATGTGACCTCGTAATTTTAACAAACCCCCAGTATTGATGTAAAAAACACATTTGGCACAGTTTGGTGACATTTATGGATAAATGTGCCAAAATGGCC